CTGAGTGCGGTATATGACGCAGTATGAAGCTGATACTTCTGCGTGCCATCGCACAGACCCCCTCCCCTGTGGCATAGTTATAGGATACGCGGACCCTGTTTTAGACGTATGCCCTGTCCCAATCTGGCCCCCGTTTCCGCCCAGCGAATCTCCCCGTAAGGCCCGCTTACGCAATGCATATATTGTGACCAAACCAACCCAGTCACCGTGCGGATCGTGTAATGAATGCTACGGTGTGTGGGCCAGGCAAGGCATGTGGCTATGTCCGAGTTCGTCAGGTGTGGGTGCCCATTTTTCAGCCGTCTTGAGGAGCTCACAGTAAACTGAGTAAATTTGATGATTATGCCTGTTATCAAAAACTGAAAGCCTGAAGCAACTATTATGCACGAAAGCCTACCTGATAAACTGACAACCGCGTCCCTACAGACCTACCAACCTGTGAAATGACGCATAGCTTGGGTGTTATGTGAACAGGTACTGGGAACAGCGAGCGCCTCCATGCGTAGTAGTCTTCTAATAGGTGGAAGGGTCTTGTTATAATGAAGCTACTGAGGAGTACGGGAAGCTATTGGGGGCAACCTGCTGCCCCTCCAGTGACATGCAATTTTGCACTGTCAGTATTCATCCAACTATCATCCGCGTAAACCCTCTGCTGAAATGGAGTTCAAAAAATTCCAAGGTAGGAGCACCGGTAGCTTCGTATCTAAGCAACTGATTCGTGTGAAATTTTGACCTTGTCCTCGGCGATGGCTGAATGGGGGCCTAGACTGTACTGTGACAAACGCAAACCTAAAATGCATCCATGTAGTTAAAAGGCATTGCAGGGGAACTAGAAATGGGCATTATGCATCCATTTGAGTCTCCCGTGAGCTCTGTCAGGAACCCAAAGATAGCTTTCGCAAGACTATAAGTCAGTACCATCAAAGAAAATGAGTCTGTACATTTTATCAACAAAGACAGGGACACTGTAGTAGGTGTCTTTGACTTACTTGTCTCCGTCACTCCAGTTCCGTTCTGAGAACAGAAAAAAGTCTGCTTTCGACAAGCCCGTGTGACTGCATATTCGCGACCTCCGCTGACATGACTCGAGGCTATTGCTTACTGATCAACTGACTCACATGCAGGCCCCGTGCGTGCAGCCTGGGGTTAGGACATCACTGGATGATAGTGACGACGACAACGACCGAGCCCGCAAGGGTCATCAGCGAGTTTTGATTTTTTGGTACAAAAAAATATCGATTATCGATCGCTGATCGTCATACTAGTGTCTAGATGAACTGTAGACAC